TTGTAGTACATGATCTCTACCATACTATCCTGGTCAACCAAGATCCTTTCCACTGAATACTTGTTTATGCGCAAATTGATCACTAGAGCGTCATCATCGGGGAGACTGACCCGAATGAGATCTTCGTCAGAGAAGTTGATTATGTAGTCTAGACAGCGCTGTTGGTGCTTAGAGTCTGACTTGGCATTTGGTAACTAGATTATTAAGTTCGTGTCCATTGTCCTAGTATCTCCTTGAGTGGCTGAAACTCTTTGTGGGTGAGCAACCTCATAGATATCGTGGAACACTCTGATAGGGAAGAATCCAGCCTTACCATGAGTTCCTTTCATAGGATACACTTTCCTTTTTCTCCTGTCCGCCTCGACAAATATTCCTTAAGATGTCCATTCTTTATCAACTCTTCAAGGTGGTTCTTCAGAGCGTAATAATTCTCAGTGAGATGCCCATGATCCTTGTGATAACTGTAATAATTATCTTTGTTACACTTTGTTAGGATCTCTGTCCATCTTCAGGAACCAATAGAAGTATAGCCGAGTCTTGATATGTGTTATGATCTTGTAAACAGGTTCAGTGAACTCTGTCTATTGGCGGCTTTTGAATGTTCTTGGGGATGTGACCTGGTATTGCTCTTCTTGACATCGAGATCCCTTTCTCCGGTCACTTCTAGTATCACGCCTCTAGGGCAGTGAGACGTCCTTCAAAAACTTGTCGTTGGTGGTGGGTGAGACCGCCTTTAATGGCTCTACTAGGATGATGGTGTTTTCGGTTTGGATAGCATCGTCTTCAACCTTACAATACCGCTCCACTTTCTTCACCAAATCACTAACTCTCTTGGGCAGTTTTCGATTTAGGGATTGCCTCAAGGCACTATCTTCCTGGAGTCCCATTTTAAGAGCCGTGTTAGCCATGGACTCAATACAGGGCTCGATCCCATTATAGCACTCCCAATACCGATTGGAGTAAGCGCGAAGGGTCTCTTCTTGTAGGATTTTCATTGGCTATAGTTCGTCCATCTGTTGAGGTTGCTTTTGATTGATGATGAACCTTGCCTAAAACGACTTTTGAAGTTGCCGAAAGCTCCGAATTGAGTTTGGCTCCATTTTATAGTAGCATCGCATGGCTAACTACCCCAAACTTAATGAGAACATTTTGCATATCATCTTTTTTTTTCATCTTTATACAGCATGGCCTGTTGATAATGTCTGATGTGATATACGCCACAAACGTGGGGGCTTTAAACTTCTTTGGGAGAGTAGCTTTCTCTATCCAACGCGCAAAGGGTGCATGGTGGAGGTAATTTTTCAAATCTTCATTGTCTGTGCAGACGGAGCTTTTATTAGCTTGTAACCATGGACTTTTCTCATAACTTTCGTTCGAGTTAGTGTTACGGCCATATCTAGTTGTGAGGTGACGCATTCTGGATCCTGCATAATCATGATTCATCCCTTTGCGTAAGTCATATGCCTTCGAGGATTTATTGACATGGGATCCTTGCATTTGCCAGCCTGTCGACTCTCTGAGGTGCGATCCCTTTTATTGCGGTTGGAGGTCCTTGCCTCTTCCAGTTCCTTTAGCAGGCACTAGGTTCTCTAAGGCCATAACATCTATCTTCTTTCCGTCTCTCTAGAGGCGATCAGAAAGTGCCTGAACAGAGTTATCTAAAATGATGTCGCCTACATTTACTCTGAGTTTCGAGATATCGCCCTCGTATTGGATGGGGCTAGTGGGGTTGTACTAGTAGGGTCAATTGGCAATTTCCTTGATGCAGGGTTTGCAACGTTCTGATTTCCTACCTTCATAGATAGGTCACACTAGTGGAGGTTTTCTCATCGACAACGCCAATTGTGGTGAGTTAGCCTCCGTTTGGGAAGTGGGTTGGCTTTTTAGCTTTTTGGCTTTTTTGGCTATTTTAGCCTGGGCTTAAAAGCTTGGTTTGGGAAGGGCTTTTTGGCTTTTTTGAGTTTTTTTGTGAGAGTAGAATGTAATGATTATGGGTTGGATGTGATATTTTGTTTGTTATGGCTAAAATAGCCTATTTTGTTTTTTGTGACTAAAATAACCAAAAAAACCCAAACCATGACTTCCCAAACGAAGCCTTAGAATTTCTGTCTTGTTGTTACCAAGAGAATAATCCACTTTACATCATATACCTGCAAACAGAGAATAGGTTCCAGTGGGGTGGTGCGCCAAGTGAAACCTTCGAAGATATTATCATCCTCTCTCTTTGGTTCTCTTTTTTTCACTTACCCTAACTTTGAGTGTGGATTCTCTATTTATAGGAGTTCCTCCTCCTCGCATTATTATCCTTGGTTTGAACATGTCCTATCTCGTTAATTTTTCCTCTATCGATGTAACATCTTCTTTTCTCGTAATCACCTTTTGACAATTCTTACTTGTCATTCACGTCGTATTTTGCCGATTTTGAAAACTACTTCTTGGTATGCGCGTGCTTGGCTGATGCATATTTGTGACCCCTTACGATTCATGCTTCTTAGTAAAGCAATGCCAATTGAGAAATGTTAGAGATCATGAAATTTTTGTCATGAAAAGGATCATGAAAAATTTGTAACCCTTAGATTACCTTGATTGGTGTGTGGTGCTTTATTGTAAGTGTAATCCAAAAGTCACAAATCTTTCATGACCATTTTCATGAAAGACTTTTCATGATACCTAGCATTGCTGATGCCAATTACTATAGGCTTTAATTTTGGTTACAACAATTATTAACGTACAAATATTTGTGAATTATGTGTATGCGTTTTATATAATATCTACAATTTCCCATCTCTCCTCAATTGTTTCTCTTATGTTTATCATATTTTTAGAATTAAAAAAAAACGAAAAGAGAAGAAAATATGTTTTTGGTAGAGAGAGCCTCAATGTACATAAAACACGTAAGTTGTATTTGGTTTATAAATTTAGAGAGTAATTAAGAAAGGGCAAAAAAAGGAACTAAGAAAGGGAAAAAAAAGTAAAAGAAAGTGAAATATGAGTAAAATATAATTATATTTCAATTATATTTTAAACATTTTTTTTTTCTTTTTTCAAATCTCCTCACAAATTTATGAATCAAACATAGCTTTAGGTTGTGTTTGGTTCAAGGATTTGGAAAGGAAATTGGAAAAAATAGGTGAAATATAAATAAAATATATTTACATTTCACTTAATTTCACACGTCTTTTTTATTTTTTTCTTTTCAAATCCCTTTTAAAATCTATGAACCAAATACAATCTTAGGCCCCGTTTGTTTTAGGCTATAGAGAGGGTATTGGGACTAGTAATACCAAGGTATTACTAATGCCCTTGTTTGTTTGCAAAGATAGCCTTGGAACTATTAGTCCCTTGGTATTACTAATACCCTTGGAAGGGGGATTGGTAAGGAGGAGATAGAGATGGTATTAGAAAATAGTGAGGGGATTATTAGTTGGGGCTAAATTAGTTCACAAAAAGACAAAATATGTTAAAAATCACAAAATATCACATTTAAATAATAATTATTCCACTTTTTCTTTTCTCACAAAAGAATAAAAAAGTTAAAAGTTCATCCGAAATAAATTTTTTTAAGACAAGCTAAAATAACCAAAAAAAAATTAAAAAATCAAGCTAAAAATATTTATTCCAACCGACCCCAAAATTGACTTCGTAAGCTTATAAGTCCTACAAGATATATATTTGTTTGGTGAGATTTTTAGAGGGATTTCTACCGTGAGGGCATCTATTGAAAGTCCATTTTGTTGCCGTAGTCGCGGAGAGTGGCTTCTCGAAAGAACTTGGCGAGAAGTGAATTTTCAATTCTATGATAATTATTAAAATTTTAATTTGGCCATCAAATACTATTATATTTGGCCATTACTAACCCTAGTGATTATTATATTTATAAACTTACACCTTGTTTGGTTTTCAAATTCCAAAATTAATTTTTAATATTTTTGTTTTTTACAATCTCTGTCTTTAATAATTATTTTTATTTTTATTTTATAAATTTAGTTGAATATTTATTAATTTTTAGATACATCTAATGCTTCTAAATGGTAAAATTTGTGAAGAAAATAAAAAAAAAAGCTAAAAATAAAAAATATTTATTAGTGTTATTTTTTTTTGTCTTTATTGAATTATATATATATAAATATTTTTCTTTTTAAGTACATTTACATTAAGTGCATAAAAAAAAAAATCACTAAAGAAAATAATATAAAAAACATATAACTTAAAGATAATTTTCACAAAACTAAACAAAACAGAGATTTTCCCAATTAAAAAAGATTAGAAAATGTTGAGTGTTCATTGATTCATATGTTTTTGTTTTTTTTGAGCCAAATATTTTTTGGTATTTATTTCAATCAAATTAATTTATATTTTGTTTCAAAAAAATGCAGAAAATAGATTTTGAAAAACAAATGAAATAAAGTGATTTGACTTTCGTTTCTGTTTAAAAAAACTAAAAATGATCATTGAAAAAAATATTCGGAGAAGTTTTGCCAACAAGGCCTTAGTATTATTCATCTATATTTTAAGGTTCTGTTTAAATTATGAATTCGATTAAAGTTTGGAAATGGAAAAAAAAAAAAAGGGTTGAAATTTGAATTAATTATATTTATATTCTACCTATATTTTAATATTTGTTGAGTAAATCATCTGTAAAAAAAAAAACCTTACAACACAACCATTTGTATTTAAAAAAAATGAACGGTTAGTATGATTTTGTTGATAATCCTTTTTAAAAATAATCAAGACTTGATCATGGGCTATAAATATCCAATTAACCTAATTTTTATTTTTATTTTTATGAATAATATGTTTGATATACCGTACAATGTGAATAATTCAGATCATCAAATAGATTAAGCTTAGCAACAACCTCATCCATTTCTTTTTCTACTTAGTTATTGTCAATTTCTTTTTCATTTTTTATTTTCCTAATCCACAAAAGAGAGAATTTTATTTTCACTTTTTATTTCTCTTCTTTGATATCTCTGTTTTTGTTTTACCTGTAGATACAGATTGAAAATGCAAGCCGTACTGGATAAAATTGTAGAAGCAATAGTTGAGCCAGTGATCCAGTTAGTGGTGGTCCATGTTGGTTTTCTTTTTCAGTGCAAGAAGAAGCTGAGGAACCTGGAAGATGAAATTGAAAAGCTTCAAAGGCAGAAAACAAAAATCGAAGATGAAGTTGGTGAAGCCATTACTCATGGTGAAGAAGTTAATAAAGATGTTGCAAAATGGCTAGAGGACGTGGAAAAAATAGTTCAGAAAATTAAGGATGACAATACTATGAACGAAAACAGGCAGTGCTTTAAATTCTCATGTCCAGATTACATCTCGCGCTACCGAATGAGCAAGGAAGCTGAAAACAAGATTGAAGAAGTATACCGAATGAGCAAGGAAGCTGAAAACAAGATTGAAGAAGTAAAAATTCTCACTCAGAGTGGCAATTTTAGCCCAGATGTACATAGTAAGAAAAACGAAAAAGAAAAACATAAAAAAAAGAAGAAAAAAAAAAGAAAAAAAAGCAAAAGTGGATTGAAAATATGTACCCCACAAGCCGTACCAGATACAATTGTAGGTAAAATAGTTGAGCCAGTGATCCAGTTAGTGGTGGTCCATGTTGGTTTTCTTTTTCAGTACAATAAGAAGCTGAGGAACCTGGAAGATGAAATTGAAAAGCTTGAAAGGCAGAAAACAAAAATCGAAGAAGAAGTTGGTGAAGACACTACTGTAGCTGTTTCAGAATGGCTAGCGGAGGTGGAAAAAATAGTTCAGAAAATTAAGGATGACAATACTATGAACGAAAACAGGCAGTGCTTTAAATTCTCATGTCCAGATTACATCTCGCGCTACCGAATGAGCAAGGATGCCGAAAAGAAGATGGAAGAAGTAAAAATCCTCATTCAGGATGGCAATTTTAGCAAAGTTGCAAATCCTAAGCCATTTGCTCAGGAACTTCAATTCCCATCATCAAGTGCAAACTATGCAAATTTTGAGTCGCGAAAATCGGTTTTCAAGAACATCATGGCTGCGTTACAAGATTCCAATGTTAAAATGATTGGAGTATATGGAACAGGAGGCGTTGGTAAGACGACAATGGTTGAAGAGATTGGCAAACAAGTGAAAAATGGACTTTTTGATGAAGTCGTGGAGGCAGTTGTCTCTCAGGACGCAAATGTGAGCAATATTCAAGGGCAACTCGCTGATCGCTTGAATCTGGAACTAAAAGGGGAAACTGAAGTGGGAAAAGCAAACAAATTATGGAATAGATTGAACAATGGGAAGAAAAATCTCATTATATTGGATGATATGTGGCAAGAATTGAACTTGAAGACAATAGGGATTCCTGTCACTGATGGAAACAATTGTTGCAAAGTTGTGATAACGTCTCGAATCCTAAGTGTGTTGGAAAAGATGCATGTTGATAGATATGTTCCAATGCGAGTATTATTAGAGAAAGAAGCATGGGCCCTATTCAAGACGAAGGTGGGAAATTTTGTCGATTCTCCTGAACTCCATGATATAGCTGATGCAATCTGTAAAGAGTGTGGAGGCTTGCCAGTCGCTCTACTTGTAGTTGGAGCTGCATTGAAAGATAAGAAAAAATATGTCTGGGAAGATGTACTTGATCAATTCAAAGATTCCATGCTAAAGAATATTGCGGGAATTGACGCAAAGGTGTATGCTTCCTTAAAGTTAAGCTATGATCGGTTAGAATCTAGTGATGCAAAATCATGCTTCTTGCTATGTTGTTTCTTTCCTGAAGATGCTAATATTTCAATTGAAGTGTTGGCGAGACACTGCATAGCGAGATGTTTGCTTGGACAAAACGCAAATACACTAATAAGAGCAAGCCGTCGAGTACTTACAGTGGTCGATATCCTCAAAGATGCTTGTTTGTTATTAGAAGGCAAAGATGAAAACTTTGTCAAAATGCATGATGTCATTCGAGATGTTGCTCTTTCAATTGCGAAAGATGATGGTAAGGAAATTCTGGTAAAATATGGTGTCAAAGAGTGGCCCGAGAAAGATACATGCGAATCTTACTCAGCAATCTCATTAAGGTTCGACAACACTCTTGAGCTTCCAGATGATTTGGTATGTCCACAACTCCACACCTTGACCATGAAATTGAAATGGAATATCAATCCTTTGCTTAATGTTCCAGATAGGTTTTTCAGTGGAATGGAGAAACTTACAATTTTAGAATTGAATAGAATCTGTATGTTGCCTCCATTATCTCTTGCAAATTTGGTTAACCTTCGGATGTTATGGTTAGATGATTGTGAGTTGGGAGACATAGCTATACTCAAGGATCTAAATAATAACCTTGAAATACTTAGCCTTCGAGGTTCTAATATCAAGGATTTGCCATCTGAGATAGGACAATTGACTCGTCTTCGGTTGTTAGATGTGCAAAAATGTAAAAAGCTCACACAGATTCCACAAGGTGTCATATCCAATTTGTCTCGCCTGGAAGAATTTTACATTTTAGATGATGTGTATACGGGTAGGGAGGAAAGTGCCAAAGTGAATCTTGATGAGTTGGGGAAATTGACGCAATTAACCACTTTAGAGATTCACATACCAAATGTCATGCTATTGCCCAAGGACTTCTGCTTTGAAAACTTGATCAGATTTAACATATCAATTGGTATTTCCTTCATTGGTAGGCGTAGTTCTGACACTTATTCAAAGTCGTGTAAACTTGTGGGTGTCTCCTTAATGGACAAGTTTATCGTTTTGTTGCGGAGAGCTGAAAAGCTATATTTGGAAAATATTGAAGGTTTACAAGTGGTGCTGCATGACAGAAGCGGAGAGGGGTCTTTGATGGAACGTCATCGACTAAATCCATCAGGTTTCTTCAATAATTTAATTGAATTAACAATTGAAGATTGTAGGTTGAAATATCTCTTCTCCCTGTCCTGTGCAAGAGGATTTCCACGACTCCGGAGTCTAGAAATATTAGATTGTGAGCTGATGGAAGCAATAGTTGGAATTGAAGAAGAAAAAGATGAAGATGTACTCTCAAGTCAGGTAATTAATTTCAGTCAGTTGGAATATTTGCGTCTCTGGAATCTACCCAAGCTCATAAGCTTCTACCCCAAAGTGGAGAAGATGTCAACATCTGAAGGAAATTCTTCTACCCAGGCACAATTTTTGTTTAATGAAAAGGTATGCTTTATCAATACCCTTTTTATTTGCTTTAATCCATTATATCTAGTTATTATAAAATGCTTTATGCATTAGGAATACAATCAAACAGTGCTAGGGTATTTTCAATAAAAATCAAAATTGTTAATCCCTAAAAAAATCACCAAATGGTTGGTCACACCGTGGCAAGCATGAAATAATTACAACAAATTAAGATTTTAAAAATAAAAAATTATGAATAAAATTAATTGTTTAGAACAAAATATTTAAGTTGTCAAAAGTGTCATCGTTGTATGTTTAGCAATGAAATTAGATATTTAGTAATGAATTATTATCATTTTTTTTACCAAAATTTGTCTAAAAAAGTGAATATCTTATGCACCAAATTGTTTTGTCTTAAAGTGTATTTATTAACCACATTTTTAAAATTTTGATACAAAAGTCTGTTTTTTGACTTTTTAACAAAAATTAGTCCCCAAATGTTTCTCCCTTCATTTTGGGGACATAAATTTGATTTTTAAAACTCTTTCTCCCTTCCCTCTATAAATGAAGAGAAATATCAATTATTTCTATTATTTCATTTCCACATCAAATTTAATTAATCAATTTTTTTTGTCCCCAAGTATTCCAACTGAAGTTTTAGGGATTGGTTTACTTTTAGATTTGCTACTAAACAAAACTAATGTGCTCCTAGCCCCCTACCCATAATCTATACGAAGTAAAATTTAGCTGAAGCCCCAAAGCATTAATTTAAATTTTTTATTTTAAATGTTAAAAATACGCATTACTAGTTCAAATTTATGCTGACAGATAAATTCACCTAGCAAAAAACTTATGCCAGCATGCTTGTGTTATTTTTTATTTTTTTTATTTTTTAAAATCGATATAAGATTAATTATAAATATGAGAAATATTATAATAAACTGGACAATTAAAATTCAACAGTATACAAAGGCATATATTGTCACGACCCGCTCCCCGTACCCAAGGGTTAGGCATCGTGATGGCCAGTAACCGAGGTTACCTCCGGCCAAAACTTTAAACAAATTGATAAACGCAAGCGGAAGAAATATTTAAATAAGGGTACTAAAATAACATTGGAGCTTCTATTTTTATTACAAAAGGTATTGACCAAAAAGGCCGATTTTTACATAAAAAAATACATCAATAAAAGTGCTTTGTGCCTACTCCACACGCTGGTCCCGACATGTCACCTGAAAGTGGTAAAAAAACTATAAGCTCATGGCAGAGTGAGAAATATTATACTAAGAGTATAAGGCATAAAATTCACCATGGATAACTAGTTAGGCCAAAAAGAGCTTGATCCATAGCATACATAATATGAAAATCATTTGATATATACTTCAGATCATATAATATGAAAATCACTATACAACCATAACCACGGTACATCACTAAGTGCCAAGCACCACACTGGTCAATGGATCCACGACAAACACTGGACCACAAAGTGGTCAATCACTAAGCCCATGGTTATTTCAGTCCCCCAAGACATAGGACTCACTAAGCCAATGGTTATTTCAGTCCCCCAAGGCATGGGACTCACTAAGCCAATGGTTATTTAAGTCCCCCAAGGCATGAGACTCTCGTGGTGGTACTTACAAAACATATTTTCATATAAGGTCATAGCCAAATATTCTTTAAAAGCAAAACACACACATCCATGGGTTTCCTTTTAAGCGAATAGGGTTCAGAAATAAAACCACGTAACTGAAATCTTTATAAAATATAACTTTTATAAATATACTAATAAAATATAACTTTTATAAAATAGATTTTGGTAAGTCAAAACATAAGTAAAATACTTTTTGGTGACTCAAGGTATAATATAACTCACCTTAACTTTAATACCTTACTCTTTCTTTTCACCATCAAAAACCCTTTTAACTTCCACTATTCTTTCCTTTCCTTTCTCTCCTTTCCTTCTCTCTTTCTTATTTCTTTTCCTTTTCTTTTTCTTTCTCTCTTCCTTTCTTTTTCTTTCTTCCTGCCGTTTTCTCCCCCAGGCGCCTCCGTATTTATAGGGGAAAAAGGCGCTACGTGGCAGATTCAGTAATAATTATATAGATTCGTTCTTATCCTTAATAGATATTTAAGATAATTACCTTTCGACCCAATATTTTAATATAATTATATAAATAATTTTATTTTTAATTAAATTACATTTTATTATTTACCAACATAAAATTAATTATTTATTTTACTTCTACACCCATTATTATTATTATTTATATTATCTATATTATTATTATTTATATTTTGACCCCTAAACTTTTAATAATTATATTATTTTATAAAATTACACATAATAATATATAATAAATTATATATTTTATGAACTGAGACTAAATAATATTAGTATAAATTCTAAAGAATAGTTAAAAATTTGGGTTGTTACATATATTGTATCAATGGAAAATGCCAATTGAGTTGTGATACACGCAGTAGCTTGAAAATTTCCAAAATTCTAACGTTTATGCTATGAAAAACTTTCGAGACTCTTAAAAAGGTCTTTTCAATTTGATCAACAATAATGGTATGATCTGTTAAGTGTCAATTTTTAATTTATCACAAATCTAGTCATATAAGACATAACTGTCTTGTCACATCATTTTGGATAAATTATAATATTTAAATTGTGATTTTCTAATATTTCTATTATAAAATCTTGTAGTAAATGGGATTCAAACTCAGACATTACCATCAAACCTAGACACCAGAAAATATACTCTAATTTAGGAGATTCTATAAGTTTTTAATTTCAATATTCTAGGTGGAATTTACTATGTTTTTAAGTCGGGAAATTCTACAATGCACACTATTTAAAATGATTATTTTAGTTATGATTCATGAAATCATATGTATCCCTAGTTATGTTATTTTCCTCTTTAGTTATGATTAATTTTCTTCTTTAGTTATGACATTATTTTAGTTCTGACTTATGAGATCTTTGGTTATACCTTATGTAGTGTTTGGTTATAATTATTTATTTATTTATTATTTTATTTTTATTTTCTTTTAAGTTTAAACTCAGAAAATATAGAATTATGTAATTTTTTTCTTTAGTTATAAAATGCATATTTAAAGAGTGTGTATCATAATATTACTCCTTTCTGTCTAAACAACTTTTCGCCATCTAAAAAAAAAAGGGGGTCCAAACAACTTTCTTCAACACACCACATTTTCCTACTAAAAGTGAAGGATTATATAATTGTATGTTTTAACTGAATTTAGGCCATGTAATTGATGAAATGAAGAATTTAATAACTTTGTTAAATTGTGTTAAGGTGCGGGAAAAATAATTGTGGTATGACAATATCGTTTTTATTCTCTTTTAGGACAAAATTGTATTATTATATTTTTAAAAAAAATCTGTAATGATTTACTTTTCCACTAAATGTTTTAAAATAATATTATCTAAAAGGGTATTCAAGAAATATTGTCATGCTAAGAGTGGGAATAAGCCAGATCGGTCAATTGTTTATGGTAATACTTTTTATTACTAATAATAATATTTGACATTATAATAAAACTCAATAAATTATAATAGTCAAATATAATATATAATTTATACAAAAAAAAATTTCAAAAGTATAAAAGAAAAACCCAAACAAATATACAAGGAATAAGATTCAAACATGAGTAGGACGACTTTCCCTTTATAAGATCCAATATAATATTTATCAATAGGAGTAAGGATCCCTAAAAAACAACCTTTATTGAGAAGGAGGAGGATCTCTTGCTTTTTGAGCCCGTGAGGCCCACTACGGGTCTCATTTCTATGATTTGAACGGTTAATTTTGTTGGGGACTTCGTTTATTTCATCCAAAAAAAAATTAGGTTGATCCCATCACTCTAACTTGTTCAATTTTTCATTAGAAAAATAGACAACAATTATGTTTTTTAAAGTAAATCATACATTTTTTTAGTGAGAAACGTAATAAACTGGGCAAGTTATAATTATGGAATCGACCTAATTTTTTGTGTAGATGAAAAACACGAAGTGCCTGACAAAATAAACGATTCGAATTATCAAAACGGAACCCATGATGGATCTCACGGACCCAAACAACATCCTTCAGTCCAATCCAATTGAGAAAAGTTATTGTGGAGAAGGATGAAGGTAAAGGATTTGAATATTTACCTTGGAAAAAGTGTTAGAAATGGTAAAATTGTGGGTCTTGATTGTAAAGACAGCAAGTTCAGAAAATTGTGGTGGGAAATATGATTTTAAAAGTTAGATATGGATTAAATATTAACTTGAGAATTGATGTATGGTTTAGGTGATTTGCCATTAAGCTTTCCTCTCACAAGAATGCGATCACAGAAGTATGGAATGGGTATTGTGTGTGCTAAAATTTGATGACACAACTAAATTGCATCCTCTATAAAGATTCAGTGAATAAAGTCAAAAAGTACATGCACTAGATGGAATTCAAAATTTGAAACAAAGAACAAAAGAACTAAACTAGTTGTTACCAACTGAGGGGCACTCCGACGATTAGGTTAGTAACAATATATCTCAAAGATTATCAAACAGTAACAACTCAAGCAATTAACTCACCTGTAAAAACATGCATTTAATCCACATGTGCCTCATTTTATATGAGAACCAGTGCCCTTCTTATCTTATAAATCTTACTAAACTTATTCTCTACAAAAATAACACTAATCTAGGACTCATCTATCCTAGTTGGATTAGGATAGACCTCTCACATGAGTCTCAACTTATCCAACCTAAGAATTTGTCTTCTATAAAGACTCAAGTTCTACTTCGAATATCTCGAATATAGTGTGATAGAATTACATCTCAACCAATCACAATCATCCACGCAATACATCGGTTAACAATCAAGCCAAATGCATGATGCAAGTCCTCAATGGAATCAAAAGTTTAGAAGGGATTTGTTTGTGCAGTAAAGGGAGATGCTGGAAGAATTGTATAATCTAATTGGAAACGTCTATCTGGTGGCCAACGAGGAAGATAAATTCTTGGGAAA